ACAACTAGGTCGAAAATGGCGGTCGAAATAGCCAATAGGAAAGTTGTCGGCATTTCGGCTCAGATAAAAGGATTGCGCTACTTTGGTATATCTAGAGCTTTAAGGAAAACAAGCATCGTGTGCCGCCGGCTTTAGATTATAAGATATTATATAGTACGCATAAAAGTAAATTTTGAAACGGAATAACAAATTAATTAATCATAATGAATTAAATAAAATTATTTAGCTTATTTATGGTAAACACTATAAATTTAATAAGATACAAACGTATATACACGTGCATACATAGAATTTTTCACGTGTTTTCAGCTTAAATTGACCTTATATTAAATTTATAAATTCTTGAAGACAAAGAATTAATTATTTCACAAAAAAAACTTACAATATAACTGTTCTTAAGCTTATTTCAATTCTTTTTAACTCTTGGAAGTATATATTTTTTTTATATAAAATTTTCTTGAACATTGATATATAGGAAGTTTTACAGGGGTCGCTAATTACTCATACTATTTACTAATACAAAGTCAAGTTTAAAAAATTTTTAATTTCAAAATAGCGGACCTAATATTACGAAGTAAATCATTCAAGTCAGTCATTTGAAATCGGGTATTCGAACATTTTTAAGAGCGTTGATAACAAATAAGAAATAAAAATAAAAAAATTAAAAAAGACTGATTTAATATGGAGGCTCCAATATCCAAAAAATGGGCTGATTTGTGTAAAATGGAAGTATTTCATAATTTTAAATTTGACAATTTTTTGTTTTAGATTTAAAATCAGCGAATCTAAAATTTATAAGTATTCATGTACTTTCATACAAATCTGTCTATTTTTTGCAGTGTAGGTCCGCTATATTAAATACCCCATTTAAAATTTTTTAATTTTTTTCTTATATCCGAAATCAATGAACTAAAAGAACTCTGATTACCAAATTTAGTATAAATATAATACTTTATGTTTTAATACCTTAATATTTAAATTTTTGAACACTTTAATGAATTTTATTCAACTTCAAGACTTATTTAAATTATTCTTATAATAGAACTTTAATATTTTTCATATATTTATACATTTTCATATTTATAAACTTTAATATTTTTATTATCAAACCGCTGACAATCGACGTCACGAATGACAAGAGTTAATCGAGTGACCTGCCTCTGCTCCTTCTTTTTAGTTTTATTTTCGCGATTTTGTGTAAGTTGAGCGTCCTTGCCGTATTGGCACGTGATCGTCAGCACTTTCGCGATTACAGTTAGGTTGCTGCGATCGGTTTTTGTATACCGATCGCGCAACCGGGTCATGTCCTTGTTACTTATGTTTACATTTTATCGTAATATGTGCCTCGAGGACATATTACTACATTTATTTATTATTGGTATTTCTTAATCTTATCCTTTTTGTTATCTAGCTGTTTTCATTCTTAGTCGTTTGTGCAACTGCATTTATGATAATATAATGATTTTGGTCCGCTGTCTTGTATTTTAAAAATTTGTAAATTTTGACTTCGGATTCAAAATTAGCGACTCCAAAAACTTCCGGATATCAGTGTTAATATATATTAAGTCAATCGTTTGAATTTTGCAATTTTTATTTTAAATTTAGAATCAGAATGTTATTACTAGCACCGACGATTGAGCGACGTAACTTCTCATTTGTTCCATTAATTTCTTTGTTTTAATTTGATACCTTTACTATAGGTATGAAATTGCAAAGAAATCCAAGTAAAAGAAGTATTTATTTTTTAATTCGCAAAAGGTGTAACATGTATGTTATACGTTAACATATTTTAAATGATTAAAAAACTTTTAAATTGTAATTTACAATGATATTTTACCATGGCCAAAATATATGTACAGCTATCTCGTATTATAATTATAATCTTTATGATACGAAAGAAATATCGAATCTCCTATTATTTATTTCAATAAAAACTACAAATTTCTAATATTTTCTAGGATACATGTTAATTGCAGCGTTACCTCTTGGCAATTTATCTATGATTATACATAGCGCTAGCATCTTACTGCTTATGCTGATTCAATTGTCATTTTACACGTTTGCCGGTGATTACTTGGAGATGAAGAGCACTGCATTGTGTTATGCCACTTACGACTGTGATTGGTACGAACTGCCGGCTAATATAGCCAAGGATTTTCAGATTATTCTAATGCGAGCCAGTATTCCTCATCAACTGACGGCCGGAAAATTCGTGGTCATGAATATGGTGACGTTTAAAGATATCTTAAAGTCCACGGCGTCATATCTTTCGGTTCTGCGTGTTATGCTAGATGGATAAATAATAATTGTATAAATTATATCAGTTGTTGAAGTTGAGCAATATTGTCGACTACATTTCCCGCTTTCCATCGTAATAGTTAAGCTTATATAAAATTTATAAATAAAAAATTAGAGAGCAAATTTTAGTTTCTCCGGAATATTGATATATACATATTTTTACGTGTATTTTTTATGAGAAATATAAGATTGTAAGATTTAAATATTTTTACTAGCTAGACTAGACCTGCAATATAATATCCGTGTATTGCTTCATCACATACATCAAGGTAGCAGCTTTGTAAATTGCGACATTTGTAGCGTGAGACATTTTTCAAGAAAAGATTTCTTTGTTACGTTCTGCGGCGTCTCGCAAAAAGTCAACGCGGCTGGAAGTAGTCGCACGCGAATAAAAGATGCAATACGGTGATGTCTTCGAAAAAAATTATGAATACTTCCTCGCTTTGCCTTAATATAACGATCATATACTTGTCATAGAAGTTTTCGGATTCGGAATGATTTTCCATACAGGCATTACTGTGATATTATCGGTGCATATTTGCTCTCATTGTCAGTTGCGTCGGCATCTGGCATCTGTGAAGGGAAAAAAAACATTTTCACCTCAGACCTCAGATGCACGGATTATCGCTGCAATTTTAGAAGCAAGTACCGTTAAATGAATCACTGACTATATGATTCTTTTGGTAAAACTTCAGAAAATGGGCGATCTCACCAATTCCAATGATTTTGACATATGTTGTCAAGGTCATGACCCTGAGTGATTTCCTACAAATTTTAGCCGTCGCTCATTATTCGTTAAAAAGTTACTAACAAATAAAATTTAAATTAAACGTACATAGAAAGTCGAAATGCTATAATTGTACTGTTGCACTCATGTGCAACAGTATAATTATAAAAGTCGTGCGCAGGGGGGAGATGGAGTAGGAGTCGCTTCAAGTGAAAGTCGTGCGCCCCCAAGCAGGGGGGGAGATGGGGTGGAAGTCGCTTCGCGTGGAAGTCACGCGCCCCTAGGCAGGGAAGGAAGTAACTTCTTTTGTTAATAACTTTTTAACGAATAATGAGTGACGGTTAAAATTTGTAAGAGATCACTCAGGATCATGACCTTGACAACATATATGTCAAGGTCATTAGAATTGGTGAGATCGTCCATTTTTTAAAGTTTTACCATTCTTTTTCATGAATTTTAATAAAATGTTAGTATTATTTTGATATTATAATTAATACAAATATTTTAACAAGACGCTTTAACCACATTTAACAAATTCTACTTTTATTCTAATTTGTTATATTTGAATATCTCATTATGCATTTCTCTATCTACACTGTCAAATGATTCCTGAAAATACGTTGTTTCCTTAACAGATATATATTATCAAAAACTTTATTATTTTTCATACTAAATACAGTTATTTACTGAATTATTTTCTAAATACTGAATTATTTTTGTATTTGTAATTGTCACTTCTATTAGCCAAATCGTAGTTAAAATGTTAATGAACTTTGAAATTTGTAATTACCCTTTCTTCATTGCAAAAATTATTAATTTGATAGATTTGTAGTTCTAAAAGTAACGTAATTCTAAAAATTAAATAGATCTCATCTTTACGCTTGTTACTATATTTGATATGTAAATCTCATCTTTACGCTTGTTACTATATTTGATATGTAAATCTCTTTATCAATGAAAGTATCTTAATAATTTATAATCGCATTACTAATACAAATTTTGTATTATACGTATAAATAACTAAATTTGACTCTTTTTCTATAACTGTTGTTATAATACATGGCAATTTTTTATTTTCTAGGTATTTCCAATGTTCATTTATTTTACTGAAATCTACCTGTATTGTAATAATGCGAAAAAATCTCTTGACTTGCTGGCAACCGCTACCGTTGCCGCCTTAGTCCTTACAAGGACTAAGGCGGTACTAATCACACCTATCCACCGAAAGAAATTAAGGTACTTGAGCCGAATAAGGCACTAACATAAGGCCCACTTTTACATTTATTACTTTAAAACTCGCTTTACGCCTGCACTATATGCTTAAAAGATGTGTCATAGAAAGTAGATAAAAAAGAATTAAAGAATTGGAATCGATAGCAAACGTTTGTTTAATCAACAAAAACTTGTGTGTATGAGGCTAGTATGAATCATTTTTATAACAATTTGCTGCAAAATTTACCAGTATACAATGTTTCATAATTTATTATAATTCATTACAATATTATTCATCTTCCTAACTATGGAAAATATAATAACTAATAAATAATTTTTTAAAAATAAGTATAAGTATAATATTTTTTTTTAAATATATACTTATTAAATAAGGCCTACTTACGTGATTATTATTATAACTATTATTATTTGTTTTGATTAATAATCATTTTAAAATTGATTTAGAAAGAAAATGTTTACTTTCTTTGTTATTTTTAATTTATTTTTTATTTGGGTCTTATTATATTCATGTGCACGTAATAAGACCCAATGTCAGAGTTTAATAAAATTTTTTTTTTCTCGTTTATTTACATATATTCTATATAAATAATATATTTTATTTTTGGGAGTGAATGAAATAAAGATTTGATTATCACTTAGTTTATTTCAATATCCTTATAAATAGAATTTAAAAAAAAATAAAATAAATTATAGGTGGGCCTTATTCGGCTCAGGTATCTTACTCGAGATAGTCACCTCTATAATGGACGATTGGGCCATGCAGAAAGATAAGAAGTTCGCTGGATTATGGAATGATAATGATATGATTCGTTGAAATATGCATTGTCTACGTGCGTGATAGTACTTACCTTCATTCTCGTGGATATCATAGTGGGTGTTTATGTTGGGCACGATGCGTAATAGCCGAAATGGTCCAAAGGCACTGCCAACTTAATTATCCGGTTGGCGGAGTGTATGGAGGAATTGTTTAATGCGAACGTTTTGATGTACTCGTTCGTTATCAGTACTGTTATGTGTACAGATGGTAATGTGCTATTAAATGAAAGATTGATAAATTTAAAGATTTTTTACAAAATTCGTAATCACAAGATAAAATTTCAATTTGAATTGTAAAATAGTTATATGCGCTATAAAAATAAATTTTTGAATAAAATAACAAATTAATAAAGCATAATGTATCAATAAAAATTTCATTATTTTCAATGTTTTCTAGGATACATGTTAATTGCATCGTTACCTCTTGGAAATCTATCTATGATTATACATAGCACTAGTATCTTACTTCTTATGCTGATTCAATTGTCGTTCTACATGTCGGTGATTATTTGGAGATGAGAAGCACTGCATTGTGTTATGCCACTTACGACTGTGATTGGTACGAGCGACCGGCTAGTGTAGCCAAGGATTTTCAGATTATTCTAATGTGAGCCAGTGTTCCTTATCAGCTGACAGCTGGAAATTTCATAGTCATGATGACGTTCAAAGATATCTTAAAGTCCACGGCGTCGTATCTTTCGGTTCTACGTGTTAGGTTAGATGAATAAATAATATATTATTAGTTATTAAAGGTGCGCAATATTGTAGATTATATCTGTCGCTTCCCGTCGCGATGTTTTGATACAAAAGTTTCCAATTTTTCTTCAACAATACACGACATCTTATATCCCTCTTTTTCGTCCCCTTTCAATTCAACAGCACAGAATGATAGACTAACGTTTTATGATAAACAAAATGTATTGTAATGCCATAGGATACTTATATGTTTCGGTTTCAGTTACATGAGAGTTACAGCATAAGAAGACTGTGATACACTATTAATTTTCGTATTTCCTTTTATGTTCTTGCTACGATAAAAAAGACACGTGGTTGTGTGTACTGCGTTACACATATCCTATATGCATATATTCGCTCAAAGGTCTCTTGGTAGAGACTGCAATTGGTAAGAGTTCAAAAGTTCGCGAGACAGTCCTCAACTACAAAGCAACGTATCGTATAGAAACATGTGATTTCGATGTGCCGATTCAGTTTCCGCGTGGCGCAACGTCGTTTTTCACTTGAATAAAAGATCAAAGAAGATCGCCTCGCCCTCGACGGCGTAGGTAGTAAGATGGCTTTGCTTCCGCGCGCTTTCATAATAAGTTTGGAGCTTGGTCAATGCACAGTAAAAAAAATCGAATAAACGTTATCGGGAGAAACGGATATCAGTAATTTTACTCGTCTTGTGCGTGACAATTATTCGCAATTATAGCATTAACCTGTTTTTTTGATTGAATTAACATTAAATAAAATATATGTAATTTTTTTGTCATTAAAGTGTATTTTCATGTATATATTCGCAAATTTACTAATAGTGCGACGCATTTTTTTAACTTTAGAATGCTATCACTATTGAGTGATACCTATAATATTGCTACTGAGACTTTTTTATGTACAAGGAAAGAGGCCACTTTTAATTAATGTAACATAAATTTTTCAAACATTTCACTGTTTTAAATGACAAAATATTTATAATTTAGCCTTTTATATAAACATAAATAATTTAATTATTTATTTAAAAGAGAAAAGAAAAAAGTAAAAGCACTCTAGAATTGATATAAAGCAAACAATCTAATTATGTCTGTATGTGTCTCTTCATAATACTTAATTAAATAAATTATTTAATTAAATAAAATATTATAACACAAAATATTAAAAACTCATCTTCGCTTGTCCTAGCATTTAGCTTGACAGATTAGATCTTTTAATGATCATTGAAGAGGCATAATTTAACGCTCAATGATTTCGCTCACTTATACGTAAAATTTACATATCGATTACATTCTAAGGTTAAAAAATATTGCTGTAATTTAATATTAACATGAACAAAATTTTGTAATTGAGATTATTTAAATTAGACTGAGATTTTGATACAATACAGAACGTGATACACATTAGGCTTAATTAATTTTTTAACCAAATCTTAGAAAGAAGATAGATATTTTGACTAAATAATGAAGGAAGCAAGAAATTGGAATGACGAATCTCATTATGCTCTAAATGTTTACGAAAAAGTTCTTAGTATAATTGGAGTTTGGCCTTTGAATGCGGGAGAGCTCAAATCTATTGCACGATGTTCCTTAGCCATTTTGATCCAGGTAAATATTACAGAAATAATTATTAACAAATTAATGATATATACAACCCAGTGAGAAATGACAATGGAATTGACGTCGATTCGATGATTTCGACGTCGAATCGACATCGATTCGACATCGATTCCATTATCATTTCTCACTGGGAAAGAATGTCTTCATCAAAGTATATTTTACTCTGTCGTTATTTCTTTTTTCGTTTCTAGAAAAATTTTTTTTAACAAAAAATACTTAGGACCGGTTGTTCCATCTTTGGATAAACTATGTGGGAATTTATTTAATGGATAAACAAAAGAGTAAAAGAATAAAAGGTTAAGAGAATAGGAGAGTAAGAGTGAGCTAATATTTATCGAAAGGTGGAACAATCTAGCCATAGATATTTAAAACTTTTGAGTAATTAGCAAATAAAAATAAAGAGATCGCGAATTAACGCGATCCCTTCCGCGATTAGATCAGTACTATCAGCAGCCTGTCTCTGGAAACATATCGGCAGTGCCTCGATACTGAGGACATGATGGAGGCTTTTCTAATGGACCTCTCATCTGTCGTCAGCCTCTCCAAGCTTCTCGTTATCCGCTTCACCTGGAAGCACACTTACATCCTGGTGACGTCCATTATCGACGACTGGTCGATGTCTCGAGACAAGCAACAACGGGAAGTTATGATGAGGTACACCCATGTCGGCAGAGTGGTGTCTTTGACGATATTATATCTGGGCTACGCATCAGGCGTCTCGTTTCTCTTCATGGCCGTACCGTTCGACAGTTTGATACCTTGGCTAAACGTCTCCAAGGCGAATGATAACGACACGATGGTAACGACGTATTTTTTAGCAACCTACTGCGTTTTCGGGTCGCTACCAACAATCACGTACAGCTGCGTCTTGTTACTGCAAGCGGCACAGATCTTCGTCAATGCCACTTCACATTGCGGAAATGATGGTTTCTTCTTCGGTCTCGCGATGCATCTATGCGGGCAGTTCGAAGTACTGCAAATGGATTTCGCTGGCATCGAGGTGGAAAAACAAAACTGCAAAAAGAAGATACAGATGTTAATTATCAGACACTGCCATTTAATAAAACTCGCTGACAGTTTTGAGTATGCTTTCAACATGGCTATCTTAACGCAGGTTTCAATGAGCGTGTTGTTGCTTTGTGTAGAAGGTATTTCGTTTTCGTGATTTTAAAATTGTTTTTTTAAATTTATGTCTTACTATGCACTATACAATACAAAATACAATGATCTTTCCTTGGCAAAAATGATTGCGTTTTATGTTTTAGAATTGTACACAGTTGGAAAAAATGTGTTAAATTTAACATAAATCGCATGTCCCCTTGTTCATTTACTCATAAATTGTGTCATTTTGAGACTAAGAAACATTGAATATCAATTTCACAAAAAATCTTTAAATAACATAATCACATTATATTAAATTAACACTCGAATATGTTAAAAAATTCAATACAAACTGTTAACACGAACGTGAGTAGACCGTTTCCAACACAAATACAAAAATTTTTTTACTGTGTATTAATTAAAATTTACAAAAAAATTTACATTTATTAGCTTTTTATGTAACAAACGTTCATAAATCATTTAATATTTTCACTCCAAATTGATAAGATAGATGTAATTCTGTGATGTAACGTTATTATTGCATATTACAATATTAATTTATGATATTATATATTAAACTTCACAATTCCTTCTTTTACACGATTTGACTTTCTAAAGTTCTAAAAATTATATATTAAATATTAGCTAACATGTCGAGATTGTAACTACTTTAATAAAGAATTTCATAACTTAGAGCAAGGGTAAAATGTTAAATAAATATCAAAAATATTACAAAAATGAAAAAATGAAACATAAGACAAATAAAATCTCTCAAGAGATTACATACATATTTAGATATTTCTTGAAAAGGCAAATGTGCCTATCATATTTACTAAATCTGTTACCGGTAAACATTTAAAACTATATTATTATCATTAGAATACTATTGAGTGATATTGAGTATGGCTATTGTAAATTTTACTTACAAGGAAATAAACTCTTAATAAATGTAACACAAGTTTTTCATACATTTCACACTTTTAGTGAAAAAATGTTTACAATCTATCTTTATAAATATAAATAACCTAATTATTAATTTAAAAGGAAAGAAAGAATAAGCATGCTATAAAATTCAATCTTGAAATGATATAAAGTATGTAATTTTATTGAATATGTTTTTTTGTAACACACACACATTTAAATAAAATACATAACAACACAAAAATGCTTAAAAATTGAAATTACTTATCGCTCTTTGCTACAATAATAACCACCAATCCAAATTGATATATACCTAACGAATAGAATTTTGAAAAGCTCATCTTTGCTTGTCCAGCCTTTAGCATGGTAGATTAGACCTTCTAATGATCACTGAAGACATATAGCTTAGAGCTTAATGATCTCGATCACTTGTACGTAAAGTTTACGTATCGGTATAGCGTTCTGCAGAAAGTAAATACATTCTTAAAAACCAAGAATGTATTACACATACATTTTGAAATAAAGATTTTAAATTGATGAAATATTAAATAAAAATTTAAATAAATAAAATGTTAAAAATAAAATTATTGATATTTTTTTAAATATTGTATATTAAAAAATTGAAATATTACTGCAGGTCTTTTTGTAGTAATTTAAAATCTATTTTTAGGTATGCAATTGATAATATCGTTGAAATTGAACGATAATATTGCAGCAATAAAACACGTTGTCTTAATTCTGACGATGCTGGTGCAACTATATCTTTATTGCTATGCTGGCGATCAGCTAGAGCATGTAACTGGAAGGATCGCGTACAGCGCTTACGATAGTCCATGGTACGATTTTGATGTAAAAATAATGAAAGATCTACCTATGGTGATGCTTCGAGGAAAGTTGCGTCACCAAACAACAGCCGGAAAATTTCTACCGATGAACTTATTTTCATTCAAAGAGATTTTAAAAGCTACAGGCTCCTACCTTTCCGTTCTCAGAGTGATGATAGATGTGTAAAATTGATACTGTCAGCATATAATTATAAATTATGATATTTTCAACGATATTTTCTTTTTTTTTTTCATTTTTTTGCATACGTGAATACTTCTAGCTATGTCTGCGTACGATGTCGATTAATATATTTTGCCAAACGTTAGATAAGAATATATTATGTCCAAAGAGCTCGAACGATTGTTGTATTATACCATATTGTAATAAATCGCGCGAAACGCACAATCTTATAACTCAATAATCATCAATATGATAATATATATACATATAAATTAAGAATTTATTGTTTATTGTTGACTTGTTTCTTATTCAGAATAATTTTTAGAATAATTTTCTTCTCCGAAGAAATACAATGTTCTACAAATGTACTT